TCTTACTCTCGGTCTCTGCCACTTAACAGATCATATATAGAACCAGAGTAGCTTTTTACTGTTTATTACATTTATTCAGTAGACGTTGTTTTCCCTAAAAACCACGGAACATTTTATGTTATCTCCTTAAAACATATACGGATACATATAGTAACGTGGCCAAATCAACAGAATGAACAAAACTCTCCCTGTGAGATTTATCTGAGTAAAAACAACAGAAACGCTTTAAACCGCACAGCTGAGTTCCCAAGAAAGTAAGGGAAGTTTAAAACTTAGGAAGGATTAAAAAAAGAAACTGCAGTGCTGAGCTTGACTGATTTTTAAGACTCCTCTGATGACTTGGGTATTAATGTCTGCCTATAGAACCCTGGAGCCCTGGCGGCCCGGTGCTTAAGAGCTCGGCTGCTAACCAGAAGTGACTCTAATATTCAAAATACTGTAACTCTGAAGGCAGGTATTATCATGATCATTTACAGAGGAGAATACTAAGTCAGAGAGATTTAGGAACTACTAGCTTTTGGTCAAGGAGCCCTGGTGGCCCGGTGGTTAAGAGCTCGGCTGCTAACCAGAAGTGACTCTACTATTCAAAATAGTATAACTCTGAAGGCAAGTATTATCATGATCATTTACAGAGGAGAATACTAAGTCAAAGAGATTTAGGAACTACTAGCTTTTGGTCAAGGAGCCGTGGTGGCACAGTGGTTAAGAGCTTGGCTGCTAACCAAAAAGACTGGCAGTTCGAATCTACCAGCCGCTCCTTGGAAACCCCACAGGGCAGTTCTGTTCTGTCCTATAGGGTCACTGTGAGTCGGAATCGACCCAACGGCAATGGGTTTTCAGAGCCCTGGTGGCGCAGTGGTTAAAGCACTTGGCTGTTAGCCAGGAGGGTGGCGGCTCAAACCCACCAGCCACTCTGCAGGAAAAAGAAGTGGCAATCTACTTCTATAAAGATTTACAGCCTTGGAAACCCTCTAGGGTAGTTCTACTCTGTCCTTTAGGGTCGCTATACGTTGAAATCGACTCGACAGCAGTGGGTTTGGTTTATAGAGCAGGCCGAAAATAAGACCTTGAGCTCATACGAAGTGAAAAGTTAAGAGTTGGCATGAAGCCAACGTTGTCAGGGGCCATATATCCTTGAAAATAGGACTAATGGGGAAAAAAAGTCTTTGTAATCTTAAAAATGAGATGAGGACACATTTGTCTTGGCTTTGTTCTGGGCAGAGAAAGAAAACAACCTCCCCTAATAATTTGTAACTAAGCTTTAGTCTCACACAAATAGTGTTTTAAATTTACACTGCCTGTGGTATCTAGGAAATCCCAAGCTGAAGAATTAAAGTGGTCTGGATTTGTAGTCCTCAAGGGCACCCGGCAACAGCAAACCCTGGACTTCTTCAGAGGAAGCCACTCTCAATCTGCTTCCTCAGGATTCCCACAGATTAAAATCTGCCAAATATGAGCTCATAGTCCAAAATTACATCATCATGAATGAGAATTGGCAGGAGAAAAAACATAGAAGTGATACCTTAAGGGCTTAAGACATTGATATGGTCAGTTATGGGATATAAAATAATATGTTTAAAAGAAATAAGGAACTTCCGATTTTAGCAGCATATAGAATTTGATTGGCTGAATGATCCTCTCAATTGAGAACACATTACTGATCTGAAATAGAATCAGTGAACCTACAGGTCTCAAAATCTAAACACAAGTAGGAACCGTAGTAGGTGAAGACCAGAACCAGCTTTCACCCTGAGGTTTTTGGCTGAACCCTAGAGACCGTGGTATACTCAGATGACTGTCCAGGGCACAAGGGACAGGAGATCAAACCCAGACCCACAAGACCTACATCATCATTGGTGAACGAAAGTTAAACTTACTAGTTTAATTTTGGCTGAAGAGGACAATGGTGAAATTTGTCTCAACTTTGGTACTGGGTGGAACGGGGAAATAATCTCCCCTGAGAATTTGCAGCAATAAACTCGGCTTTCACGAAAGCTTTTGGTTAAAATTTATGCCACCTTTGTGGTCTGGAAATCCCAAGTAGATGAACGAATTTAAAGTGGTTGTGGATTGCTTACAGCCACAGGACGATAGCAGAAGCAAATATAGACTCTTTCTGGAAGAATTCAGCTTTAGTCCAGATCTTAGAGAATTCCTATAGATAAAGCTTCAAGAAAACTGATCATTTCACCATCAAAATCACAAAACACGGAAGGAAATAAGGCATTGTGAGTGAAAAACAGCAGAAACAACGAGCATCAGAATGAGACCTGTGAACACTTCAAATACTAGAATAATTACAAAGAAAATATAAAATAATCATGCTTTAGAAGTGAAATTTTGGAAAGGTAAGCAGTGGGGTAAGAGACTATAAGGAATGACCGAGTAGATTTTGGAAAAAAAAAAAAGGATCTTCTAGAAATGAAAATACAGTAAGCTATTAAAATTGAAAATTCAGCAGGTAGTTGAATTGCAGATTAGATGTAGCTGAAGACAAATTCATGAATTTAAGACAGTTATGAAGAAATTATCCAGAATACTGTACAGAAAGGTAGAGTTGGAATATATACAAGATGTTATGCTACCTGGAAGATAGTGAAGAAATTTAACATCTAACTGGAGTAGAAGAGAAAAATTAATGAAATAGGAAATAATGATTAGGGAGGATTAAGAAATATAAAATTTGATTCCTTGAAAATACTCATAGGCAAACTTTGGAAAGGTCAGTTGAAATAGAGAAAAGATACAAATAAGCTATTAGGAATGATAAGGTAGACAGAGCACAGTAGAGCTTTAAAAAGAAAGAGGGAACCATGACAACTTTGTTAACAATTTTAAATACAAATTGTTCAAATGTGTAGAAGATTATTAGTCACCAAAATGGACTGAAGAAGAAAGGAAAAGCTTGAGTACTTAGTTTTGAATCAGTACTTAAAACTCCACCACCCAAAAGTAATTATTAAGATAGAAAATATACCAAAAAACTCCCTTCCAGGTTCAGGTGGTTACGTAAATTATATCAAGCATCGAATAATTCCAATCTTACATGAACTCAGGGACTTGGAAAAAGAGGGGATACGTCTCCCACTAGTGTTGTGAGGCTGATGTAACCTCAGTATCAGAATCAGATAAGGTACAATGCAGACATCCTTGTGTGTGTGTGTGTGTGTGTGTGTGTGAGAGAGAGAGAGAGAGAGTGTGTGTGTGTGTGTGTGTGTGTGAGTGAGTGAGTGTGTGAGTGTGTGTGTGAGTGTGTGTATGGGTGTGTGTGTGTGTGTGTGTGTGAGAGATGACCACGTGGTTTATCCCAAGAATGCAAGGATGGTTTAATATTTTAAAAGTTTATGGATGTAGCTCAGCACGTTAATAGATTGAAGGAGAAAAACCCTCTTAAAAGATGCAAAGTATCTAAAAATTTAGCAAGCATTTATGACAAAAACGCTTAGCAACTAGGAATAGAAATGAATTTTCTTAACCTATTGAGATACCATACTTACTGTGAAATTCCAGAAGATTTTTTTTTTTATATAAATGTAGCCTGGACAAGGATGCCTACCCTCACTGCTTTTTAAAATTCTTTCGTAGCCTATTTCATAATAAATTTAAAGAAAGAAAGTAAATGGAGTTGTTTCTTCCCATGTTCATGTTACCTGCTTGGCTGCCTAGGAGAGCGGTGGGCCCTCATTCATAGGCCAGCCAGGTAGGCACAGGTGGGGGAAGGTAATTAATCCCCCATTTCTGTGTTTCCTCATTTGTAAAATGGGATAATTAATTCATAATATTGTTGCGAAGGAGCCCTGGTGGTGCAGTGGTTAGATTAGTTTCGGTTCTAGAATTTGTACACTAATCTTTCCTTCAACTAGTATAAAAGCCATTGAGCCTTTCTAGCTTTAGTTTTTTTAATAATTTATTTTTGTTGTTGTTGAGAATATACACAGCAGAACAGACACCAGTTCAGCACTTTCTACGTGTACGGTTCAGTGATACCGGTTTGAATTGTGCAACCACTCCCGCCCTCCATTTCTGAGCTGTTTTTAATTGCTGTGCTTTCTTTTCTCGCTCCTTACCTCTCCTTTCAAGCCTTAGGGTCTGTTTCTCTGCATTACTTTTCTCCAAACTTTCTCAGATGATGGGGCAGAAGTGATGCTGAACAATATAAAACAGCAATAGGAATTCAAATTGGTTCATTTTTCCCCATCAGATTGTGATTTTCATTGAGTATATGGCAGAAGAGGCATTTTATGCCCCCGCTGACACCAAAGAAGCCCTGTATTTAAAAAACAACTTTTGAGCCCTCATCATATTGTTCTGATAAACAGTGATCTCGTATTTCTGAATTCATTTTTATTTTAATAGTGTTACAGTAGGGATAACAGATAGCTTTATTTGTAATGGTAAATTCTTTTTATAAAGGCCTGCAACACTGAATTTGTTTTAGGTCAGCGTTTCTCCTGGGTACTCATAATGTCAGGCCTTTTACTTCATCTTTATAGCTGAGGAACTTGACATACGTGCTCTAAAACGGAAGCTGAATGCTCCATCCCCAAACACTTTTCTTCAGGTAGCCGTAGCTTTTGTTGACTGCTGAGTTAAGAAGGTTTTATTGGGTCTACTTTTTTTTATAGTATATTTAAAATAACAGCTAATACTTTTCTGTCTTTGGAAATAACAGATTTGTAAACAATAAAAAACAGGAAGAATCTAATCTGAAAATAACTGTGGAGAAATTCCTCCAAACACAGCCTGTCACAACAGGGTATCCCAGGTGTCACAGCATCTGAAAATACAGCATGCTGAAATAACTGAGCCATAAGGGCTGTCACACTCGTCTGCAGAAGGTGTGTGAGCAGGAAGTGGCAGGACCCCCGTGGCTGATGCTCACCGAGAAGTTCGTGCCCCACCGTGCAGTTGGCCTGGTCACTGCCCACGGTGTGGAGTCTTTTCTCAAGGGACACGCATTTTGAAAATGTCATGGAAACTCTGTTTGCTGTGTCCTCCAGGTCGGATCCGCACAAGACGGCAAAGCTCTGGGAGCGCCACCAGCGTCGCCTCTACGCCTTCCGACAGTCGGGGCCGCAGCCGTGCTAAAGTGGTTTCCCAGTCCCAGCGTAAGAAGTGAATTTATGCTCTGTTATCGTGTTTATTCCACAGACCTTTCTGTAGTTGGAACATTTACAGGATCACCCTTAGGATTATTTTCTAAAGCATTTATGTACGTATTACACATGACATCAGAGGAAAAACACATTTTATGGCTCTGAGATAATGTGAGTAATCTTGATGTTTGCTGGATAAGCTTAGAACATGGAATGGTCCATGTTGTCTTACTTATCTAGTGCTTCTATAACAGAAATACCACAGGCGGATGGCTCTAACAAACAGAAATTTATTTTTTTACACATTAGTAGGCCAAAGTGTAGCCCCCCCAGACACCCGGCACGATTCAGTCCATATATAACACATGCCCACGTGGATCTTTTTTTCAGGTGATCTTAATTTTGTATCATTAAGCATTAAACATGAAAACAGAGTTTCTCTACCTGTCCTCAAGCCTAAATTGAAACGTATCTGGAATATGACTCATGCTTCTCTGGTTAGGAATCCTTGTGGTGTACCTTAAGAGCAGTACCGAGGAGCTAACTATTCAGGTCGCTGTTTCCCGTGGTAGTCAGTGGACGCGTTTAAAGCCCTCCCGTCTTAACCCTCTGTCCTAACATTGGCCGCCTGCTCCTCCTTTCTCACCAATGTGGGCTTCTGCTTTTCCCAGCTGCCTTCACTTCCATTATTGATTGTCTGTGTATGTTAAGTCAGTGGAATCGTTTCTTAGCCTCAGCCCTGAGACCAGCCATAGCTGGAATGAATTTATTTTTAATTACTCTTAGACTCCAACCCTGGTGTCTCACTTCCCAGTTACAGGAATCTGAGTATCCTGCCCCCTCTGCACATACAGTGGCGCTGGCTCAGAGCTCCTATGGGCAGTGGGGTGCTGTGGCTCAGAGCTCTCATGGGCAGGTGGGGTGCGGTGGCTCAGAGGTGTCGTGGGCAGGTGGGGTGCGGTGGCTCAGGTGTCGTGGGCAGGTGGGGTGCGGTGGCTCAGAGG